ACAAAACTCAAACAAATCGAACTAAAAAGGTGATATTCGTAATCAGCACAAAATTCTGCATCGGATGATGTGTCTTTCAAGGAAAAATGAAGAGTGCTTGATTTTTGAATTAGCGGCACCTTACTTTTTACTCGTATATAGACATTGTCGATGATTAAGCACTAGTAAACAAAATCATCATGTCTTATTCAATGTCGATGATCCTTATAACAAAGTACACGGTGCTATATAAATTCTCGCCTATAGTCCATTTGCATTACATTTTATTAACAGTGCCCAGTTAGTACAATATATTAAATATTGTAAATCAAACAAGTGTACCTCAGTTCTTCATCTCGATGGAACGGGTAGTGTGGTCGTTGGTGATAAACGACGACGAGGATCCACAAGACATGGAATACACGGCAAATATTGTCACAAATTAGAGATTATTTCGCTTCTCGTAATATGTTGTTGTCATAAATGGATTTGCCAAAAGTTTATCTACACAATATAGGCCACCCGGATACCGTTCATCAGTTATTAAATGTTTTGCGTTGCTATTGAATAAAACAACGCTCACTTTAATTCTAGAAAGATTCAAAAAATAATTTATTGTATTTGATGGCAATTGATTGACTATTAGTGCTTAGGAAACTTGTTCATGGTAGTGATATACTAGAATACGAAAACATATCAGAATCTATTGAAGCTGAATGTCTTGTCACGAATGAAGAACATGATGAATACTTATGAGACAAAGGCACAATTCAGAAACAAAGGCCATTCATATGTGGTCTTCTTCAAGAATTGTCAGGATTAGCTTATATTTTGGGTTCAAAGGCAAAATTCAGCAATATTGTTAACCCATTATTTTCATTATCAATTATTAAAACACTGTACCAATGGTGCGCATATGTCCGTTTGTGAACCGACTCGATGAAGAATTTTGAAATGTAAGGAAAACAAATATGACCGTTTCACTCATTTTCTACTACTCAGTTACTAAAGTTCTACTACAGTTCTACTAAAGTTACTTTTCTGATTCTGCACCTAGTTTTCTTTCCTTCTCTCAAAAAGAAGAAATATAGAACGTAAAAATGTCCAACAACTGGGAGATTTATAGAAAGCTAGAAATTTCTCAGCAGATATTACACTCATTTTATAGTTCGGTACTTGCCCATTTTCGATGTATGTTTAAAATGCGTAATTATCGCCGTTTTTTCGCATATAATTTTATTTTCAATTTCACAAATGATATTTCAATTTCTTTAACTTTTTCCCGGCTGTTCAGCTCTGTCTCGTCTATTCTTGGAACTGGAGATGGAGAGTCTATCAATTGTGTAATCTTCATGCTCTAGATACGTTAGTACAAGTAGTCCAGATGATAATGGAAATAAATATGGTTTAGATGAAACAACAAAATTTCAAATGCGGCGGTTAAATCATGGTTTAAAACAGTGAAATATGTTGTCCTGGCGCGCATATGATTTTGCCAGTATAATTCCGAATGTCATATGATCTAAGATGGTCTATGCTAATAATATTTATCCTGATAAAATCTACAGTGCAACTTCTTATATTTTATTTTATTATTTTCAGTACAAACAATTACATCTTCGAGTAGCCGATTTTCTTTTAAAGTAATTGCTCACACCGAATCTCGACTTAAAGCTGTCAATGCTGGTATTACTCAAAAATCTGGATGTTCTCCAACGAAGGAAACAATCGTTAAAGCGTAATCAAATTCCAAGTCAACCACTGTTGATCCAATTCTAAGTAAAGAAACCTGGAAAAATAAACAAAGTGTCAGTTCAGTAATTAAGTGAAGCAATAAATGAAACTACGCTCAATTTGAATAATATTGAACAATTGATCCCATATTGGTCCGCCATAATGGAGTATGCAGACAACTATCAATAATTTACAATGTGAAATATCTGGTATATGTAATATGGACGTGTTCTTATACGTTTTTTGTTTTGCTTACACAACATCATCAGCCTTTCGGAAAGAAACGAAAAGACTAAATCAAAATGAACCATACATTGATATGGTGGAAACAATTGACATCATCAATACAGATGTTTGGAATATTGCACGAGTCTACTGGTTATGATGTACTGGTGGATTTAATGATGAATCATTGAGAAGGTGGAAAATCATACGAAAAGATTTAATTGGAACATGACACAACGGCGAGTTGGACCGCATTACAACAGCATCAGAATGTGAATTCTTCGCTTGAAACCGAAAAATTAAAAACAACAAGATCAAAAGATATCAGTTTCGAGTAAGTCAAATGTTTAAACTAGTTTATCACTCCACCGTCTAGCGTGATAAATATGTCCAAAGTTAAAACCACTAACTCTGTATATTTATAAGAAAAACAATTTTAAAACGTTGTACGCGTTGTGGGCACAGCTGTGAGTGCAATAAATGATGAAATAGCAGTTTTTATGTAGGTGCATAAAAACATGCACTTTCTATCTAAATAGTTTTGATGGCCGAAGCTCGATGTTTTCACAACAATGAGCGATTTACGATCATTTGACAGCTTGGGACTTTTATAAGTACAGATAGTCGAAAAAGATGGCACTATCTGTTTCTTGCATACTTTGTCTCATTTCATTTCTTTAAGTACCCATTTTACAACTGTAATTTCATTTTTCTCTCGCCGCACAATAAAAGGTGTTAGGGGATACTAAGACGATCCTCTTTGGAAGGCTACTACGTAGCATAAAATTTTCTGAAAAATAGTGTAGGAAGAAAGTAGGTATAGTATAGAATCGTTCAGTGTGTCCATCCGACCATTTATACAATAGCTCGTAGAACGCGAACCGATTGTGATGCAACTTCGTGGCTATAATCAACTCAAGAATATCTCGGTCAAGCTCGTTTGGGGTACTAGTTGGTTAAGTTATAAGAACGAGTGTGCTTCTCTCTAAAGCTTTTCTATGGGAACCAGCGACCTGACCTGCTTTGGAAAAAGTGATTATTTTTTCTAGAGGAAAAATTGCTTGAATTGAGAAGGCATTCACTTCCCTTATAATAAGTGAGGCATTTGTTTGGCCACGCGAGGGATCTCCAACTAATTCTTCGTCGCATCGCACAGAACAAAAAGAAGGCAAAGTGCAGGGCTTAGGATGCAGTTCTTTAGTGAGGTCAAGGCCGAATTTAATCCAAGAAGCTTGGTGAAAATCAATTCATCATCAATTTTTCTTCTTTTTGACCCCACATAACTCTTAGATTTAAATCCGAGGATTGTACATTTATTTATTTCAATTCGACTAGGTCATGTGCTCAGTTAAGAATGAGCAATCGGTGGGTTTATCATAAACACATCTGCTAAGGACAGAGAGCTAAGATAGTATGTCTCCAAAGATGATGTTAAGTTTTCTGATGCTCGAACTATAATTTTCTATGATTCTAATTTCTTTTACTAGTCGCCATACTGTTTTTCCTGGTATTAATTGAGCAAGTTAAGCGGCAGGAATTTGTTTTCGCTGTTGTATTCGTTGTGCTAGCACTGAGTTTAGCTTATCCTCTGTTCTGATTGGTGTCTACTATTTTAGTGAAAAATATAAGGGCATCTTTTTTATTTTTTCTCGTAAGAATTTATCTTTTATATTTGTTTTCAGATAGATGTTAGATATTGCATGATCAGTAATAAGAGAGGTATTAAAAATACTTTTTCTACGTTCTATCTATCTATGTATATGCTGTGGCCAAACTTAGAATTCGGCCAGATTTCGAATTTGGCCGGCCAAAACTGGAATTCTAACTCTGACCGGCCAAAGCTTTTGACCAGCCAAACTTAGAATCTAAACGGCCAAAACTGGAAGTCTAACTCTGGCTGGCTAAATTCAGAATCTGATGGGCCAAAAGTTGAATATTAATTTTGACCAGTCCAGAATCGAAATTTGGAATTATTATTATACTATTATTATATAGTATTATATTAATTCTTCATTCAACATAGTTTTCTTACATTTCATGAACAATGGCTTATTCAGAGGTGTGATATACGCACTGACTTAGAATAAAATCGAGATTTTGATCTTGACGATGATTTTTCCTATAACCCAATGTTAATGGAGCAGGTCTACCGAATTAAGAATCACAAATAAACACTGCCCCACATATAATGGGTTTTTAGGGACTTTTTTTAACTTTTTTTTAGGTTTTTGTGTTCCTCTACTGGGTTAGTAGTGCATTAGTAAATAACAAGCATGCAAATCATATTATCCCTTTGGGGACCGGTGACGTTTTAAAACGTCATTGAAGTTTCACGCGATCTTTATACCTGAAAATTCTTTTTTTTTCACGTCTTTTCGAGGAAAACGTTGAGACCGCTTTCTTTACACATTCATCTTCTGACTTATAAGGTCATGAAGGTCATAAGTTATTTCTCCTTCCAGTCTATGCATTTCTTTTGCCTTTCTCTCCCGTCATCAAACATGACGT